GTGGGACTGGCCAGGGACCCGGCTATTGGTCCTAGGCTCAGAGCACATGCGCTCAGAGAACTGGGTCCAGGCAGCACCTGACAGAAGTCTCAGAGTGGGCAGCCTGGGGGACTGGAGAGATAAACTGGTTTGTGGTGGGACCTCAGCAGGATAGAGGCTGCAGAACAGGGAACTTGACAGTTACCAGTTCTCATCAAGGAGGATGGCGCTCTGGAATAGAACTATTCGGTAGAGTTTAAAATATTTGATCCCAGGTCTGCTTCTCTCCCATTGGAAACAGCTTTTAAAAGCTATTTTTTTCCAAGCTGCCCGGGGGCTCTCTCCACCCCGCCCCGCGAAGGCTGGCCCATGGTATGGCCCAGCACCCCGATGGCTGCTCTGAGCAGCAGCTGCCTTCCTGCTCCCAGGCCTGTCCCTGAACCCCTACAAGGAGGGTCACAAGAGGCACAAGAGTCCCACTGAGGCATGTCCCATTCTCCAAGCCAGGGGTACAGGTGGCAAAGGGGATTTGAAAGGGCAGAAAAAAGTCTGATGGGAGACTTATATGTGAGCACTGGGCCCAGCCAGAAAAAGAGCGTTTGTCCAAGTTGGAGACTAATGGGGCTTGGAGGAGCCCACTGTGACTAGAGGGGCCCAGTGTGACGGCAGGAGCAGAGATCCCCTAAGTTGGGTCAATCCTCTGGTAGGATGGGCTGACTGCACCAAAAGTAACCTATTTTGGAAAAGCCTGGGTCATCCGTGGATCTCATGTCCCAGGAACAGACTGCTCCTACCCAGGGTGGGATGACACGAGGTGAGTCTGTCCCCAGGGCCAGAAGCAAAGCCGACGTTAGTGCGTAGCATTTTCGATCAGCATTCTTGTGGGTTTTAGCTGTGTGTGTGTGTGTGTGTGTGTGTGTTTCCTCTGATTATCTTCTCAAGACAAACTAGGCTTGACCTAGTATGTTTCTGGACTGACCGTGTTCATATTAGTTCATCCTTACTTGTTTTGAGACCGTTTTAGTTTTGTAGGTAATAGATAGCTATTAGGACTTCAGGAAAATCACAACATATTTTTGTTTTCCTTTTCTTTTTTTTTTTTTTTTTTTTTTGGAGTGTTTTGGTTTTTTGCTATAGAGTGTGTACGCTCACCAGACAGAGAGAGACAGAGAGACAGAAAGCGAGAAATCACCCCCCACCCAGGGGGGATGGCCACGCTGCAATCCCTTCTCCTCTATTTTCCTCTCGGGATCTTGGGCACACACACACACACGTGCCTGGCGTGAGTTTAAGCCACCGGGTCTGGGACTCGAACCATGGTCAAGTGGGAGTCCAGCAACATAGCCATTACTCTAACTGCTGGTCCCCCCTTTTCTTTTTTTTTTAAAGAGAGATTTTTGCTATAGGGTGTGCTTGGCCGGAGAGACAGAAAGAGACAGAAAGGGAGAAATCACCCCCAGAGGGCATGGCCATGCGGCGATCCCTTCTCCTCCATTCTCCTTCAGGATTTTGGGTACTCATGCACACGCGCCCTGGCATGAGACATATTTTTGTTTATCTATGCAAAATTGCATCATGGCTTTCCCGATGACCCAGTGAAGACTAACAGACCGGCAGTGTTCGCACTGGCACTTCACCAGCTCGATACACAGTCACTGCTACAAAGCATCTTTGCTGAGCCCACCCTCACTTGGTGCTCCAGATGGGTGGTGCTGGGGATCACTCAGAGCCCGACTTCCTCTCCTTGTAGAGATGAGATCTCCCAGGCAGGAATGTCTCATGACATGGGGCAAGGTTTCTAGGAGGAGGCCCAGGAGATAGGACCCACATGAGAGTTCACCATGGACCCTGCAGGAAGGTCAAGATTACAATCAAACGTCTTCCCGAAACATGGACTGTGCGATCCAGCTTTAGGCCAAGGACTGGGAGCCTCAGCATGTGTCATGTATCCCATGGGTCCCGGGGACCCTACTAGGGTCTTTTTGACACCAGGGCACCAAAAAGGGCAGGGAGGGCAGATGAGGTCCTATGGGCTGGTTAGGAGAAGGGGATTAGCACATAACTACAATCTATGTGGGCACCGTGCCCAACATGTCTACACCCACACCACCCACACACCCCAAGCTGAGTCTGGAGCTGTAGCCTCTAATTGTTCACACTCTGAAATCCCAGTCCTCCTCCACTCCCACCCCCACCGTCAAATGTGGTAGGCCACCGCCCCAAGGAGAACCAGGCCGAGACAGTCCATGCCATAACTCAACTGAGTTTCTCCTACGCAGTGGCTGGGAGGAGGGTCAAGCTTCCTCTGGCTCATTCTAGGAATTACAATCTTCTCCAGCTGCATAATCCCCAGCTCCCAGTAACCAGCCCAGTCCTGCCTTGGTTGCCCTGCTGCAGAGAGAGCTTGGTCTCTTCTCTGCTTCCCCCTGGGCCCTCCTCTTGGCTTCACAACTGCCAAGGCAAGGCCTATGTGGCTTCTTGGGGCCACCTGTGGACTAAAACAGGACTTTCTAGGTCAGCGGTCTCCCACTCAAGACCTCATGATATCCAGACGGTGACCCCAGCTTATAAAAGCACAGCACTTCACAGTGTAGCTCTGAGACTTGTGGCTGAGCTGGGAATCAGAGCGGCCCTTCTCTGGGATGATGTTCTGTGTCATGTTGAGCTGGAGAAGCCCCCTAACCAGGTCTGGGGTGGGCAGAGTGGGGCTGGGGTCTTCTGAGAAAGCCAATTCTGCTCTTGGGGGCTTTCACACCCTGCTTGCCTGACTTGGAGTCTATCTCGTTGTGAGTGAATTAATTGTTGTGCAACCTAGAGTGGTGAGACAAGTTAATTACATAATTACTGCAAAATGACATGTGATTTCATGGCTGCAATATGGTAACTCTGTTGGAAATAATTGTAATTGCCCAGAAACTGCATTGGAGTGGCTCCGTTATCTCTTGGTAACTATGTAATTAACTTCTGTTACAACTTTATCTGTGGCAAACTCTGAAGTTAGGTGTTGGGGCTCCTGGAGTGGGGGTGGCCACAGCCATCCCATACCTAGGGGCCCCAGTAGGGCCTGGCATCAGAGCTCTGCTACAATCCAGGACAGTAATTCATGTTTTCAAGTTGAGAGAAGAAACTTCTCATCGTGCACACCAGCCCTCTGCCTCCCTATGTGCTCAAACTCATGCACGATCATGTGGTCACATCCAGACAACTCCCCAGTTTCATAGTCACCTCAGGGCCAGGTCTCACAAAGACATCCATTGTGCCCAGAATCGCTGGCTCTCGGGCTCTCTGGCTCTCTCCTCTCACACCTACATGGTGCGTCTCCTCCACAGAAGGTAGGTGGATGCCTGCAAAGTTGAGCTCTTATTCCAAGATCTTTGGCCATTGCAATCTTATGCCATGACCTGGGCCACTGACCACAAACCATAATGTGAAGAAGCCGCACCCACGCTGTCCCCGTGACAGCGCAGTTGTGCTCCCCTTCAACATGGAGGAGCAGGCCTGGGGCAGGATGATGGATGGCCTGGCCAGGCAGACCTAGAGGTACCAGTAGTCTGACTCCATCCACTCTGGACTCTGGGCTGTGGCCAAGGGAAAAATGGCCCCTGGGGCAAGAAGAGCAAGGGGCTTGACAATGTGGATATGTGTAAGGGGGTGTTCCATTCATACAGCCTTCCCCATCAGGCTTTGGGCCCGAAGTCTCTCTCATTTTTATTTGCCAGAGGACGTGCACACTCACCAGAAAGCAAGAACACACACCCCAGTGGGGCACGGCCATGCAACAATCCCATCTCTTTTGCTGGGATTCTGGGCACATGTGCACATGGCACTGGCATGTTTCTCAAAACTGCTGGGGCTGGGATTTGAACCATGATTGGCCAAGTAGGAACCAGCTCCCTATACAGTGCTTAACCTCCGTGCTATGGGGCCAGCCCAGGAGTTTCCCTTTTTAATGCTACTCATTACCTGGCACCTTTTCAGTTCCAGGCTCTGTGCTTGGAGCTGCGCTGCAGCAAGACCAAAAAATCCTGCCGCCTTGGGTGAACCTAGCTCAGCCAGGCAGGTGGAAGCACCCTGGTGCCAACCTGTTTGCCATGCGCCTGGCTGTATTCTGGCCTGCCCTGAATGCCAGCCTGTCTGCCTGCCTATCTGCCTACACACCCATCTACCTGTGTCCACCCCTCCTGCCTGCTGGCACACGTATCTGCCTGACCGGGTGTCCATTGGCTTGCCTGTCTCTGACTCTCTGGAGTAGTCATGAGTGGCCCTCTGCAGAGGAACTGGCCTGTCCAGGTTTCCCCACAGCATCCCTCCACCATGTGCTTCGTTTTCCTAGCTTTCTCCCTCCTGGCTTCTGCCTACTCCCGTGGCAAGCTCCTCACAGGCAGGGGCTCTGACTCACCCCCGTGTCTGATTTGCTCTGGGTTCCCCTGCACAGAGCAGACTGAAGCTTGCTGAATGAATGAACAGATGTTCCAGACTGCCCAGGCGGAGGCGAAGGAAACAGGATTGTTCTAGCTCGCCCAGGATGGCAGGAAGCCAGGCCTCCGGGTGGGCCCATGTTGCTGGGCAGAGGCAACAAATGAAAAGGAAGAAGGTTTTCAGATGATGCTCCCATGGTAGGGGGCTCGGAATTCGGTGTCCTACTGTGGAGGTCAGAGCTGGGTCTCCATGTGGGTGGGCTGCCTGGGGTCTCGGTGCAGGATGGACCACAGGGACACAGGGGAGGGAAGCCTCCCTCTTGCCCCTCTTCTTGGGGGCTGACTCAGCGCTAGAGTGGATGCTCTGTAAAGGAGGAAGACTCCCCTATTCCAGGGCGTGAACTCTGGCTGGAGGATGAGGGGCTCTGAGCTGTCCCCTACCTTTCAGTTTCTTACCCCAAAGCTGTGCTGGCACTCCCTTACCTGACAATCGCACCCCACTAAACACCCGCGCTCTACCCAACGTCCGACCTCTTGAGGGGCAGAGGGGAGGGGCCCCAGGTCTGTGTCAGTCATGTGAACAAGGCAGAGTAACCTCCCCGGAAACATTCATAAGTTTAATCCACGCCAGTAATAAAATCGCATTACATTTCTCATAAAATAAATGATCCCATTTATATACAGAAGACAGACTGTACAGGCCCAGCCTGGCCCCAGGAGGGGTCACACACAGATGGGCGGCGGCAGTGGAGGAAGGGCCGTCCCTCCCATCGAGGATGAAGTTCTAACGCGGCAGAGAGTGGCTGGCCAGCCCGCACTGGCAGAGTGGCTGGCCGGTCAGCCAGGCGAGTGGGCAGGCAGACAGATGGACAGACGGGCCTGGAGGCCAGGCGCCGGGCGTTACTGAACCTGGGATTCAAAGGTGCCATTGAGCTGCCCCTCCTCATAGTCCATCTGACACAAGATCATGTTGTTCTTCAGGAAGAATTTGTCTCCCACACAAAATCTGGAAAATCCAAGCAAGAGAGAGAAGCCATGGGAGGGGTCACAGTGGGTAGTAGGGGCTCCAGGCAGGACCCAACCTGGCCCAGGAAGTAGGACATGTGGGAGGGGGTGGCGCAGGAGAGTGAGCTTCTTGAACTTTCCAGAGAGGACCACGGGGGTGGGGGGAGGTCAGACCCCCTGGGCCAGTGGAGCCTGGGCCAGGTCCTGCAGCCTGAGGAGGCAGGACAGACAGACAGCCTGGGCCACAGGCTTCCCACACTCAGTTCTCCTGTAGAGGAAGGGGCCCCCAGAGGGGTTGGGAGATATCACAATCCTATTCCAGTCCCAGAGAGGGAGAAAGAGAGAGGCCAATGAAACAGACTGAGAAAGGGGGGAGGTGGGTAGAGGTAGGGGTTGTAAGGTGGGAATAAAATGGTTGATTTCTTCATCCTCTTGTTCCCCTCCCGCAAAAGAGAATGGGTTAGTAAAGGGCACTCTCCTTTTGCAGATTCTGTGCGGGTCACGTCCCTCCAGGAGGTGACCCTGTCCCACTACGTCCTTTCTGACAAAGAAGACTCTGCTTTGGTCTCCAATCCTTTCCAGTCCTTGCCCCTCACTCCCCAGCCCCAAAGATGTCCCTAAGTTTCCTGAGCCTTTAGTGAGACCCCAGGGTCACTGGCCCAGTCCCAGCAGAGCCCAGTCCAGCCACCAGGTGGTGCTGTGACTTCACTGAGCCCTCCAAGCTGCTGTGTGACCGGAGTCCCAGCCAGACCAGACTCCCTGCAAGCCCCTTTGGGCCTCAACCTCTGTGGACACTTGTAGGAGTTTCTACATGACCTCAGGTCCTGAGAGAAGGACCTGCTTTCTGGTGCTAGACCCCAGCCAGGGCTGAAGGACTCTGGCTCCTCGGGTCTCAGGGGGCCTCCCACCAGGCGGGAGCACTTGAATAGAGCCCAAAAGATCAGAAAGGAGGCTGGGCTGGAACCAGAACCACAGGAGAGGAGTCAGGGATGAGTGGGCATGTCCTGCAGGGACTTCGCCATCTGGGTCTAGGAGCCCCTTCTCACCAGAACATGTGTGTATGCACGCACAAGGATACAGGGCACACATGCATTATCCTTTGTACATGCAAATTTAAAACACGTGTGCACATCAGACTCACCTCATCATGCATACAGAGTAAACACACACACCCTTATATGAGGACATTTAAAAACATAGGCTCATGTGCATATCGTGGACATTTAAATACACATGTCCACTTGCATATGAATGCCACCATGCACATGTAGCCACTTGTGCATGAACATTTGTAAGTGTCATGCACACTCACACTACACATACACAGTAAACTTGTGCATACCCCCATCCAGTACAGTTGCACACAAATGTCCACACAAGTGTGCACACACAGTCCTGGAGTGCACATGCACATGCTTGAATGTTGGGTCCAGGCACTTGGGAGAACATGCACATTCACAACATGCAAACACACACAGAGAACCCATGTTTGCACATGCCTCCCCAGCACTCCTGGCTCATCCAGCAGGCGGGGTCTGGGCTGGGGTGGGGAGTGTGTTGGGTCTGCTCCCAGCCTAGCACCCACCTCTGGTTGCAGAGCTGACAGGCGAAGCAGTCTAGGTGGTACACGTTGTCCCGGGCCCGCATCACCATCTCAAAGGCTGGGATCAGCTTGCTGCAAGCGGCGCAGTTTCCCGTGGTGCCAAAGAGCCTGTGGAGGGAAGGACCCAGAGGGCTCAGAGAGCTGAGGGGACAGCCAGGTGCCTCTATTCAGGGCCCACTGCCCCCAGCTTTGTGGACTTAAGCAGGTGGGCCTGCCTAGGTGAGGGGGTGAAAGCATCAATGGCAGCATCTCATTTCTAGAGATCAGGTTTTGAAGAAATCAGCACCTCCTTTCGCAGAAAGGGTAAGTAGGGGTTCTGGGTTTGGCTGACACAGCCCATTCCAAGGCTACCATCAAGGCTCCCACTGGGGTCTCTCAAGCACCTGGAGCCAGTAGGAGAGCACTAGGCTGGGCCTTGAACAAGGCAAGTCTGAATTTTGGAGGCAATCTGCCAGCCGTGGACTGTGTGTCCTCAGGCAAAGTCACTGAGTTTCTCTGCGCCTCATTTACCTCAACTGTAAAACAAAGACAGGAACACACCCTTCACAGGGTTGTTGTGAAAAGTGATGTAAATCCTCCTTCGCAACTCGCTCAGCAAACACCTGGGTAGTGTTTCCAACGTGTCCTAAGAGCTTGACACGGATGAATTCATTTAATCCAGAAAACAATCCTATGGGGAAGGGCGTACTATTATCCCTCTCCATTTTAAAGATAGGAAAAATGAGTCACAGAGGGGTAAACCATTTGCCAAGATCACACGGCCTTGCTCCAGAGGGTGTATGGCATCCCCAACTATAAAATTAGTGTTTTATTCAATTTTCTGCTAGGAACTCACTGCGTCACTTGCCTGAGTCCTGTTCTTTCTCTGAACCTCAGTTTATCCTTCTGTGAAACGGGATGCTGGGACTAGATGTCCCTGTTCCTCGATGCTTCTAAAACAGACCTGATGCCCCAAAGAAGTTGCAAGGACATCTGGCACAGATGCCTCTTTGAGGCAGGCCCCTGTCCTCTTAGCTGCTGGCTGCAAAGTTCTAGGGTCAGGGAGTTCACTTTCCCCCAACAGCCAGGAACGCCACTTGGCTGGAGGCTCCTCCTCACTTGTTTTTTGCACACGAGCAGAGAAGCCCCAAGTGAGGCCGGTGGGCTGTGAAGTGGATGGGAGGCCCCTCTAATCCCCGATTTGTCCAGCTCAGGATGAGCCTGGCTCCATCATTCAGCAGCCTGAGCTGCCTAGTGGCTCAGATTAAGGCAGACAAAGGCTGGGCCACCGCATCTGCCTGCCAAGAGGGTCCTTTCTTGCCATCAGTCCAACGAGCAGTAGTTGCAGAGGGGCGGGCTCGGGATGGTGATGCTCCAGGGCTGGGACACCAAAATAACTCCCACCCCCAGCCCAGCCCATTGGCCTACCTGGCCACAAAAGCCATCTCTGCCAAAGTATAGGAAAATACCCTTAGCCCTTTCTGGCTGACAGAGCCCTGAATGCTCTTCTGACAAGCCCATGCCATGCCGTGGTCCTCCCTCTCCAAGTGCTATGGGCCCATCCGATGGTCAGTCACCTCTCCCTAACCTGACAGTTCAGATCCTGAACTGTCCAAAGCGTCAGACTTAGAGGCTAGTTCTCGAGTGATGACCCAAAGCGTCAGACTTAGAGGCTAGTTCTCGATCCTCAAGAGGTGAATCCCCAGGAGCATCACTCCTTTATTTTATTTTATTTTTTTAAAGAGAGGTTTTTGCTATAGGGGGCATGTAATCGCCAGAAAGACAGAGAGAGGCAGAGCGATAGAAAGCGAGAAATCCCCCCCCCAGGGGGGATGGCCACGCTGCAATCCCTTCTCCTCCATTCTCCTCTCGGGATCTTGGGCACGTATGCACATGCGCCCAGCGTGAGTTTAAGCTACTGGGTCCGGGACTCGAACTGTGGCCGACTACATGGAAGTCCACTGACATAGCCATTACGCCAACTGCTGGTCCCAGGAGCATCCTTTCTTAACCCCACCTCCTGGCCTCTCTCCTGTATCCTTGAGCATCAAGTCACAGAGTCACAGATTCTGCTTTTGTTTTTTTTAGGGTTTTGTTTTGTTTTTCCAGGAGAGTACATGTTCTTACCAGAGAGAAACAGAGAAAAAGAGAGAAAGAAAAAGAAAGAAAGAAAGAAAGAAAGAAAGAAAGAAAGAAAGAAAGAAAGAACGAACGAACGAACCCCCCCAATGGGGTGTGGTCCCATCACAATCCCTTCTCCATGTCTCCTTCCTGTTGGGATTGTGGACATGAGTAAATACATGCCCAGCATGTTTTTCAAGCTGCAGGGTCCAGGACTTGAACCAAGGTGAGTCATGTGGGATCTGGTTAACTTAACCCACTATGCTATGGGGCTGGCTACAGATTCTGTTTTATTCCAACACTTCAAAAACGCCTACAAAAGACTGGCATCAAGAGAGGAGGAGCAGGCTCTTCCAGGAAGTAGGGGTGCGTCTACTTATGACCCTGCCCTCCCCCAAACTCCAGCATGGTAGCCCCACAAGCCCTTGCCCTGACCTGTTAATTAATGCAATGGGCCTTTCTTCCCCACAAGGCCCGGCCACCATCCAGCCGCCCCAGACAGAGCCAAATGCAGGTGCTGGGTCTCAGCCAAGGCCCCCACCCGTGGCCTCCCTCCAGTCTTGCTGATGTCATAGATGGCCCTAGTGAGGGTTAACAGGGAGGTGACTCTGAGGCGTGGGATCCGGGTTGTGAGGGAGGACAAGTCAGAACTCTGAGGAATGCAAGGCAGGGAGGCATTATCACTGCTTCTTAGAGGAGTAAACTGAGGCTTGGCGATGGTTAGAAGCCAGAGGCTCAGAGCTAATGCAAACCCATGTCTCTAAGCTTCAGCACCAATGGTCCTTCTCCTGCCCTTATGCACACCACTGGGAGGAGGCTGGAAAGGTGCAGGGAAGAGGTGGGGAAGGCTTCATTGGGGACAAGGGGCCCAGCAGGTCAGAGCTTTCCCACCTGCTCCTCAATTCCCAGATTCCAGGAACAGGTAAGTCAGAAGCACCCAGCAAAGGCTGGTGTCTTCTGACACTTCCCAGGTGCCCAATGATTCCAAATGCCTGCCCTGGACCTGCACCAGGCACCAAGGCCAAGGAGTGAAAGACACGGTCCTGTGTGCAGGCCGCTGCCTGGGCCTGGGGAGAGCAGGGCCGGGGCAGCATGGTCAGGAAGGAGAGGACACGTGGTAGAACCACACTGGGCCTTGAAGGACGGGCACCGAGCGGGACTAGGGAGGCGGGCAGCGGCGGGGCGAACCTCAGGTAGTCGCGCCGGCACAGGATGAGGTTGGCCTTGGTGTAGAGGGTGGAGCCCACCTCGCCCAGGCGGCAGTCGCAGCAGGCACACTTGAGGCAGTCTTCGTGCCAGTATTTGTCCAGTGCCTTCAGCAGGTAGCGGTCCTTGATCTTGCGGTTGCAGCCTGCACAGCCCTTCTGCTTCCCTTTGGGCTGGACGGAGAGCATCGGCACGCCTGTAGACAGACAGATGGACACAGGATGGGCCTGTGCGCTGGGCCTCAGGCACGGTCTCTAGGGATGGGGAGCTCACTGCTCCTCTCGCCTGCCCCTTCTAAGTATGGGGCTCTCAGGGACCCGTACTTTCTCCCCATACCTCCTCCCCTGGCCCTCGGTCTGTCCTTTGGGTGGCAGGCACAGCCTGTCCCCTGGTTCTGTGAAGGTCCCTCCAGGAGCTGCAGGCAGCAGCCGGAAGCCCCAGGTCTGCTCTGCTCCAGGCACACACATAGCCACAGGCCTGCCCCTCCCTGAGTCGTCCCTCCCCACCCTGGCCACTGCCCCTGTGTGGGCTGACCACGGACCTGAAGCCCTCCTCATGCAGCTACTATCCCATGGGCTTTCAGTAATGGGCCCAAGAAGAGCCTCATAATAGCCTGGGGTCCACTAGAGCCCCCAGATGTTTTTGTTAACTCAAGCCTTCCTCTGCACACTGGTAGCGTATCTGACTGCCGTGATGAAATGGTCAGCTATGGCCTCTTAATCTCCACATGTGGAAGTGCGAATGTATAGGAAGAAAGTGAGAAGCCCTGAGCCCTCCTAGGGGGTCGTGGCTGGGAGAGGTCCTGGAGCTCCAGGGTCTGCCTTTTCGGGGCTCTTCCCCAGAGGGCTTGACCTAAGTTGCCTGGCCTTGGCCTGAGTTGGGGAGTGATTGGGATCCTCGAGTACCTACCAGGGCAGGAATCTCCAGGCTCATAGGGGCTTCCCAGCACACAAGAAAGCACCAAGTACAAGGGCTGAGATCACAACCTGGGGGGCCTGATAGGCAGGGCCTCCTGGCAGGTCAGCGTGTGCACTCGCAACCCCCACGCATGTGGGACAACGTGCAGGCGCAGGCACGGATGGTCACGGAGGCACAGGCTCCAAGTCCTTCCCGTGGGTCCCTAGGGACAGCTGAGGAGGAGATGGGGACAGCCTAGGCGTGGGGTAGTGCAGAGGGTCCCAGAAGCCTGGCCTGTGTGTGTAGTTACCTGAGAATCCCTCATGAAGAGTGTTGGGTGGGCTCCTTCCCCAACCAAGGGGTGCTGGATGGAGCAGTCGATTCGAGCCCATCCCTACCTGCTCCTGGGCTTTCCAACACGCCCCAGAGTTCAGTTTCCTATAGGCCCAGCCCCTCCACAGAACCACTGCTCTTTCCAGGCATGGAGCTCAGCTCCAGTACCCTGCGTCCCTCCCACCCCAGCCTCCTCTGTCCTACCCAAGTCTGGGCCAGTTGGTTTTCTTCCCTTCCCATCTCGGGGTGGCCCCTCCTCAACCTCAGGGTCTTGGTCTCAGCATCCACAGATGTCAGGTCAGGGGTGTCCTGAAGTTCTTCCAGTCAAATGCCTTCATTCTACAGTTGGGGAAACTGAGGCCCAGATGGTCCAAGAACCTGGTTTAAGGCATCCCTCGAGCTGGCCTGGGGCTCTATTCTCTCTCCTGTGCTCCTTCCCAGCCACGGGCCCTCCTCAGACTTCTCTTGTGAAGGTGACGTGGGCAAGGGGGCAGCAGGAGCATCAGGCCGGCGGGGAGAGGGAGGGAGGAAGGAGGCAGCACGCAGACTGCAGCCAGCGGTGGGAGGTCAGCGGCTCTCCTCCAGTCTGCAGGCAGGCTGGCTGTTAGCTGGGAGGTTTGCTGCCTAATTTCCTTAATGCAGCTCTGAAGGTTAATTGGTCTGAGAGAGCGATGGGGCTCCGATGACTCTGTCCTCAGCCTGCCTGAGTCTCCTCCACAGGGCCCAGCCAATCTAGCCCCTCCTGTAGAGGCCAGTGGTGGAGCAGGTACCCCTGAGAGCTGAGGAGACCTGTGTGGCTGCTTCTCAGGCTGAGCCTATGGGGAGGAAGGTGTGGGAAAGTGGGAGGAGTTAAAATAGCTGGAGTTGGGGCGGCGGGGGCTCCAAGGGTGCAACTGTTGTCCCTGAAGCCCATGGAGGAGGATCCAGCCAGCACAGACGGAGCTGCACAGGGGCCAGGTCACTGGCGCAGCCCCCACAGGCTGCTGTCCCTCTTGCTCAGCAGGGCCTGCAGCAGGCCTGGCTTCCTGCCCAGCAGTCCTAAACCCGCCCAGGCTCCATGCTGTCATTGCCAGCAGTGGATGAGTGGCTGGCCCATCATTCTCAGGGGCTACACCTACCCACTAGGCTATACCCCCAGTGAGGAGGCACCGAGGGAGGCTCCAGCACTAGGAACGTCTGCCCTTCCTCCTTCCATCTGCTTGGTACAGCCTAGCCTGGCCTCTCTGCTCCAGCCCAGCCTGCCTGGCCTTGGAGCCTGCAAGGCTTCCAACTGCAGCCCTGACCAGCAATCTCAGCACCCGTGGAGTCTGGCACCCACAGGACCCCTTGGAAGTCACGAGGAGCAAGCTGCAAGCCACCATAGCTAGGAGGGGCACCCTCCTCTGGGGAGTTCAACCATCATTCCCAGGCTCTGGTTAACTCTTAGAAGCCATAAAGCTTCTGCTAAAGTGTCCCATGTCCCCTGAGACATGGATACTAGTGAGGCAGAAGTTAGACCCTATTTACAGGCAGACAGGGCAAGGAAACTCTGCACCCCTGCATTCCTGTCACTAGGGCCAGCCAGGTGGAGGAGCACCTAGGGACTCTTGAGTCTCTTCCACCCAGAAGGCTGTCTGGGGAGAGGAACCTGACCCAGAGCATGCCGGTGGGACAAGCTGGGACTGGCCCCCAGATCTGCTACCCCTGGCCGTGTGGGCCAGAGCAGGTCCCCTGGTCTCTCTGGGCCTTGCTGCCCTCATCTGCTCAATAAAGAAAAGGAAACAAGCCAGTGTTTCTCAGGGAGGATGGAAGAGTGCCACCAGAGTCAGCCCTTTCTTCCTCATGGGGCACCCGCAGTCTGCCCTGGAGGCACTAGCCCGAGGTTCCTTGCGCTCCCGGATAGGGGAGGGCTTTAAGGGGTGCACCTACAGTCTCCCACTCCACAAGGGCGGGGAGACGCTCTCCAGAGGGCTCAGGATCTAACTCTGTCCTGCTGCCCCAGCCCCCCACCCAGTCTGTCACCCTGCCCCCTGTGGACACCTCTTCCCACCCTCCCTCCCCTCCCTGCCTGGCTCTGGGAGCTGAGCCTGGGGCCATGCACTTTCCATTAAGGAGATAGCATCCCTTTGCTGAAGTCCATTTGGGATCCATTTTAGTTTTATCTAAAAATCAAATCTACATGGTAATCCTTTTAATGTACTCCTGACTTTAGAAAAAAAAAAAAAAACAGCTTTGCGCTCCTTCAGGAAAGGTTTTAAAGCATTACCCAGTAATTACTACTCACCCATGAAAACACTGATATTTTACAATGGGTGATGTTCACCCCTGTGCACATCCACCTGGCACACGCTCAGATGCATACGCTGGGCGCAGCAAAATAAACCAGTTTGCTCAGGCTCACGTCACCCTCAAATCTTGGGGTGTGGAGAGGATGACATTTGAGGGGAGACAGGCCAGACTTCTACCCCTGCCTCTGGCAGGGAGGGGTTGAGGCAAGGCTGAGGTGGAAGGAGGCAGCTGGGCTGCAGAGAGAGTCTCCTGTCTGACTCATCCGCTGCCAGACACTCACCCTCGGTTCTTTAATCTGGGGAAGAGCCAGACAGTCCCGGTGACAGGGATGGACTGCCAGAGGTCATTGGGCCCTCCTCTGCTGGAAGAGAAGGCCTCCTCTTCACACAGATCCCCCAGTGTGGTCCCTGCTAGGCCACACCATGTCCTCAGCAACCCTGACCACCCATCGCAGCCCAGGCCATCCCACCAACCCAGCGCATGGGCTTTTCCAAACTCTCAACCCCACAGGTTCCCAGTCCCACTGGCTCTACAGCTTGGACAGTGGCTGGAGTCTGGCTGGGGGCCATTCCCACTGCCCCCCAGCAAGCTCCTCTGAGGCCAGGCTCCACCCCAGAAGTCTGCCTTGCCCAGCTCCAGGCCATTCCAGGCTGTGCCCTAAGGCTCTCCCGCTGGAGGCCAGTGTGGCCACCATTGACAACTCCACGGGCACCTGAGGTCCTGCCACAGATCCGTGTGTCCTGCCTGGCGCTGCAGGATCCATTCCCTGCAGAATTCTGGACCTTTCCACACCACAGATGGATCCGCTTTGCTCATGACCCAGGGCCTTCCACCACTGCTCCAGAAAGCAATGCCTTATTCTGGATCATGCCTGCTTCCTCAGTGGTCAGAGTCAACAGCAGGTGGAAGGAAGCCCAGAGCTCAGACCTGGAGGTCTGAGACCAAGAGCCAAGATGTCCTAGTCTGGGACTTGCCCCCCAAAGCTGGGGGCTGGAGCCAATCTCTTCACTTTTCTGACTTAGATCTGTGAACCAGGACCATAGTGGTCCCTTCCCAGACAGACTGCATGGGACAGAAAGGATCACACATACGAAGCCGCAGCCCAGACGCCCGCTCCTGGGAGTGGGTGAGAAACAGGAACTGCTAGGTATTATGAATACGCAGGGGTACCATTTCTGCTCTCGCACTTGATTTCTTTTTCTTTTAGCTTTTTATCTTGGTAGAATTTCAAACTTTCAGAAAAGTCACAAGAACAGAAGAAAGGATTCTTCTACAGCCTTTACCCAGATTCCCTAAGTAGGAAGGATTTACTACATTTGCTTTATCCTCTTTCTATCTGCCTTCCTCCCTACCTATTAACCTAAGATGATGATTTTAATGGACTCATTTGAGAGTTGGTTTCAGACATGAAGCCTCTGTCCCTTTAAGTTCTTTTGGTGTGCTTAAAAAGCGAAGTATTTGCCTACGGCACAATGATCAAAACCAGGAAATTACCATCGATGGAATATCATTATTTAATATGTGGACCATATTTGGACTTTCCTAATCCCCCAATACTAACTTCTCTGGAAAATCCCAGTGTATTCCGTTGTCAGTTTGATTCTATATAAGCCTGGAAGAACTGCTGAGCACTTGAGCCTCAAGACACTGGCCCTCCAGCTGTGTAATGGAATACCCCTCAGTCTGACGCTTCTGTCC